CTCGTATGGGTGTAATTCCTTATAGTACCTTAGTTTAGTTGGAGTCTCATTTATGTTTTATGTCTTCTTTATTTTTTTAATTTTTTCAAATATTTGTATTATTTGGATTTTCTACAGAAATAAAGTTGATGTTCATAATTCTATTCTGAGCTTGTTTTTGTGTAATATATATATGTTGCATTTTGAATAGATCTCTATAAAGAATAAAGTTAGGACCAGTTAGAAATAGACATGACTGAGATCACGTTGCACGTAATTTCTATGCCACTTATCCATTTTTTATCTATGTCATTGAGTGCATACAATTGTGATGATCATTGTGGTTTAGTCACATTAGATAATGATGAAAGTTGTAATGGATCCCTGTTGTTGTATGAGATGGACCAGATTGTTTAAGGAGGGTCTAAAAATAAATAGCATACGGTTGCGCGCCTAAAGAATTTTGTGATATAAATACTTAAATAATGAATATGAACCCAAGTGGGAGATATTGTTAGAAATTTTATTTCTAATAATTAATGTAGGCTTCATATATTATTTGTAGTATTTTATATTAGTTATTTACATTTAGTTGGACTCAATAAAAGTGATCTAATTTTAGTGAGCCTTTAGACTGCTAATAGAAAAAAACTGATATGGGTCCAAATAAGTAGAAACCAAATTTGGCATGTTAAGGGTTAATGGGAATCCTAACAAGTTTAAAATCGTAAAGATGGTCATGGTCCCCAATATGTCAAATCAGAAACACACGTCTCTCTGTCTCTCCATCAGAAGAGGAACATCAAGTCCCGTTAAGGAATCTAGTGTGTTGGCTGAGGAAGATCATTGCACCAAAAGACTATTTCGCTGCAACCGTTTGGTCAACATCAATGGAAACAGGTATGTGTTACTAACCTTAACTCTGTAATCTGAGACAACGGTTCTTAATATTGATTAATGAAAAATTTCTATTTAGTTTAAGAAATTTATCCCAACACGTACAATATTTGTGACTAAAAATTATTTTTATCTACATTATAAATATAATATATGTTAATATATTATTAAAAAGTGTAGATATAGATTATAGTAACACATAATATATATTATTAAATCTCATTCAAAATCAATATTAAAATTGTATGTAGCGATATATTAAATAAATTTATACCTATATATATTATATCTGTGACATATTTTGTATGTTATTATATAACATTTTTTTAGATATATATTATCTGAAAATCAAATATTTTTTCTGCATTAAATTAGTAAATAAAAGTAATGTGATACTTTTACTACATTAAAACTTTTCTTCTCTAACTTCAAAATGTTAGTTTCTCACTTTTTTAATGAGATTAATTTCATGAAAAAAACTTTGTAAAAAGGATTTTTCAAAACCAAAATTTAATAGGAATATCATCTTTTAAATAATAAGTTAAACAAAAAAAATTAACATTTTTAATTTTAAATTCCTAAGTGTACAAAAAAAAACGTGTACCCAGAAAAAAAAAACTTTAAATTTCTAAAAAAATTAAAACTTTTCGTGTAGCAAAGAATTCTTAAAAGATTATTTATTTCTTGGGTAGACATGTTCTTCCTTGTGTTCCGAAAAGTAATTGAAATACTAATTCCTTTATACATTGTTAGACTAAAAGAAATTAATTGTATTAAAAAAAAAAAAGCAAAAGATTTAGCTTGTGCATAGCAATCGTTAATGATTGGCTAGGAAAAGATCAAGGATTCAATTAACGACAGACAAAATTATGGGACACTTGTAATGAGACGCTCATGATCCACTTGATGGTTCTAAAATTAAAATACCAAAGTTGTTTCTCGGTCAAAGTTAAAGCTATATATTATCTCTTGAAAATAACAGAAAATGTTAAATATTGAAAAATATGTAATTTAATATAGTTAAAACTTATTTTTGTATAGGATTAACAATTTTCTTTTAATTAATATTCTTACTTGGGGTAAGGATATGTTGTATATTTTATGACATTACAATAACTAGAATTTTATACTGAGTTTTATACGTGCCAATAAATGTTAAATGTTTATTGGATTTGTTTGGATAAGTTTATCTAAAGTAAATACTTATAAAAAAATAATAATATAAAAGAAAATTAAAATAAATTTTAATAAATTAGAAGTAATTTTTGTATGAGTTAAAAATAAATTTTTGAGAAAGTTAATAAGAAAGTGTTTTTCATATTAGTTTATATTAGTTTATGTATAAGTTAATTTAGCTTATAAAAAAACATTTCATTTTTCTTCTTGTTTTTCTCATCTAAAACAATTTTACAGAAATTTATCCAAATAAACATATTATATATATAACTAGTAGAAAAGAGACATTAAAATAAATTTTAATAAATTAGAACTAATTTTTGTATGAGTTAAAAATAATTTTTTGAGAAAGTTAATAGGAAAGTGTTTTTGTATATTAGTTTATGTATAAGCTAATTTAGCTTATGAAGAAACTTATTTCATTTTCCTTCTTATTTTTCTCATCTAAAAACAATTTTATAGAAATTTATCCACATAAACATATTATATATGTAACTAGTGGAAAAGAGACATTTGTTATCTTTATATGTGTGTGCGCGCGCTCACAGTCACAGGGAGGATTAAATTATGCTGATATAACTTTAATATTTATTACATCATTCAATAACTTTTAATTCAATGATATTTTTTTAAAATTTACTTTTAAATTGAAACTCTATATTATCTTGAACATGTATGCTAAATTAATTAAAATTAAATAATAATAAAAGATAATTAAATTATTTATATTTTAGTATATTTTAAATATATATATATATATATTACATTAGTTTTGAATTTAGATTTATATGAATAAGGTATTTAATAATATTTTATTAATATAAAATTTTGTATACATGATTTAAGAAAATGAAATTTTAATTGATGGTAGATTTTGGAAAAACATTAGAGTGTAATAATTGTTAAAATTATATTGATAGGTTATGTACCGCCCAACTTCAAAAATTTTGCATATTTGTATTAAATTGTTTCGCTTACAATTCTATGTGATTTGTATTATGGGTTTATTTATCTTAAAAAATACATCTATCATCTTTTGCAGAGTTTGTTTGTTCTTAACTTCTTATTAATGTATTGATTTACTATTTAGAGGTAGAAAAATATTAAGAATTAAGGATAAGGGATAATATTAGTGTAGTGTTAATAATGTAAATTGTTGATTATGATAAATTAACTAATATTTGATTTTCAATTTAATAATTTAGAGTAGGTAGAAATCTTGTGCAGATACGAGGAGGGAACATTTTCAGTTTATTGAAAGAGGACATGTGTTTTTCAAGATGACACTCGCTATAGAAGTGAGAAGGGCAAAAAAGTCCAAGAAATGAACACCAAAGTTTATTGAATTTTATCAAATCTTTCGTCGTATAGGTTTGGTGGCATTTCAGTTGGTTTTGCCACCATTCTTGTCTAACATGCATGATATGCTTTATGATCAGTTGAGGAAGTATGTACATAACCTTAGTCATGTGGTGGAGTCATGTGGTGAAGGAGTTGAGAGGGCAAGTCCATCAATCTTATTAAAATTGTTTGAGATATGACCATTGGTGAGGCAACATGGGAGATGAAAGATGCGATCAAAGATCGATATCCATATCTTTCCAAGTAAGCCAATTTTTACTGTTGGGGAGAATTGTAACACTATATGTATTATATGATTTATTATTTAATTATAAGTTTATAATAGTAGAAAATTTAGATAGAAGTTAGAAAAAGATGCTCTAGAGCCAATGAAATCTAATCTTTGATTAGATTTTGCCGGAAGATTCTCCTGATCAATAGTTAATGTCGTGGAAGTTGAGATTCAAAGTTGTGAGTTGAGAATCATGAGTTTGTCGTGTAGAGAATATTCGAGGAGCCTTCATTCTTCCTTCTCTTTCCTTATTTTCAAGTGATTCAAACTAATGGATGTTTGTTGTTTGATCATGTAAGTTGTTTATGTTGGTTTTATTTTGTTGAATTATGCTTTGGTAAGCTTTTAAGTTGAATTTGAAAGTAGAATTTTGGTGTTCTTCATTTTCTTGGAGTTTCTTGGAGAAGGTGGAGAATTGATGATTTTGTTATACATTGTTGCATGTGGCAATTTTCTTCAATTCTTAGTTGTATGTTGTTAGTAAATGGTATTTTCAAGTTGCTCTCTAACTTAGCTTGGTTAGAATGCTCAATGAAAACAAGTTTTAGTGACTTAAAATAAGCATATTCAATTTACTATTAACTTCTTATTAATGAATTGATTTACTATATAGAGGTAGACAAATATTAAGAATTAACTATTAAGGATAGGGGAACCATACTAGTATAATGCTAATAATGTAAACAGCTGATCATGATAAATTAACTAATATTCGGTTTCAATTTATTTACTTGGTTTCATAGTTAGTAAAAGCCACATATTAATACATGGCAAAAAGTTGTGTAAGTTTTCAAAGAGAACAATACTAAGCCGTGAATTAAACAATAATTAAACTTCCACTTGGTACAGTGGGTATAGATTTGCATTGAAGTGAAAATATAAGGCAAATTAAGCACAACAAAGTTATATCAGATTTCACACCTAATTCGATGGATCAATGCAAAATCACACATTTCAATTATATTCTCAAGTAAAACACAATTGCAATGGGTGACAGATGCCACCACTTAACTCCCAGAACAACAAATTACTCCTCAGCACACGCAATCCTGAATGAGAACAACCAAAACAAGCACTAGCATTTCAAAGAGCTCCAATTAATAAATCAGCACTAACATGTAAAAACATGTAATTAAAATTTATGTAACTTGGTCCATATACTATTACCTGATGCTGCAAACAATGCAGAAAATATAAAATACGAGAATGAGTACTAAAAACCTATTACATAAAGACAGAGATACTCTTGCAAATTGGTGTCAACTAGATAACATTTTCTTTAATAGACAACTAAATACACAGCTCCAAATCAAACTTAACAAGGCAAACTTGTAGCCCCAAGTCCACATGAACGAAGAGTATCTGAATAAGAAGTAAAGCAGACATTTAACTCATATCCGTGATGGCATATTTCATCAACCCTCATGTAGTTTTGTTGAGTCAAACCATAACTATAAACCTTTGTTTTAGTAGCCAAAATTAAGAGACCACTATTCATAACTGTGAATCCAGTTATTTTAGGATCTTCCTCCTTCAAACCCATCGCTTTTGTCCTTATCTTGAGAATTCTGAGCCAGCTGTTTGAAGGATAATCTCTCAAGATCCAAATGGTAAAGACAGACTTTCTTAGTCTCACCAAACAGATAGAGGACTGATCCTTTCCCCAACTGAAAATGCTCATGTCACAATGTAAGTCATGAGAACCCCTTCTTGCCTCTCTTGGCACCCTTAGCATTGTTGAGGTGCTACTCTCAAGATTGTAGGACATTATATAGGGCCTATAAAAAGAACTCTTTTTAGTAAGATAAGGAAAGCAATCTGAGATGAAGTGGATGGCCCCATTACAAATCACAGGCATGTTAAACTTCATGTTCCTACCACCTGCAAAGAAGCTTTTTTCCTTTGTTTTCCACACCCCTTCCTCGGGCTTGTAAAACTTGAAGGCATAATTTGAGGACCAATCATCTTGACCCTCAATGTGAAACACCATGTAGTCATGATCACAACAGTTGGAACATTCCAACAACCCCATCTTGAGATCATTATATGGCTTTTCTTGAACTTCCTTCGGAGAAGGAATGGACAACCAAGACTTTGTTGCTGGGTTACAAACGAAGAGTTCAACAGTGAACATGTTAGATGTGCGACAAAAGATCAATCCCTTAGTGGAAGATATGACTCTTGAATGAGACAAAAATTTCAGAACATCCTTAGACACACCGGAAGATGATTCTTTTTCAGGTAATGGGTACAACTTAACTTGTTCGTTGTACCATTGACATGTATCTTGTTGAAGGAAGAAGCATGTGTCGTCCATTTTCATTGAGTTCTCAGTTTGCTTCCTTGTGAAATATGTTTCTGTAGGAAATGTGGACACAGACTTGCTCACACATTTGAACTTGTAAATGGCTTTTGCTGGTAAATAAGAAAACAAGGTCTCAAGTATGTCCTTTGGAAACGATGCCATGAGTGCAAGGAAGAATAGGAGACAAAGAAACTGTGGAAACAAGATGAAACACAGAACAGGCTTGAAATGGTTTGAGGTGGTGAATAAAAAGGAATATGTTTTGTGGACAAGAAACTTGGAAAACAAGAATACAAATTAACATCTAATAAATTCTGGAAAAATAAAATTAGAATTAAATCTTTCTTTAACGAGATTACGAGTTTCAAAATCTGTAGAAAAATTGATAAATATAATTGATAGAATTATACAGTGACTTGGGAGCAAAGCAATGCTCATGACTTAAAGATACGCGCAGTAATTATCAGAGACCTAAATATACTTCTTGAATCTTGATTTGTTGACCTATTTCTAGCATTTAAGATTATTGGACAAAAGATATTAAGATAAGAAAAAATATTGATTAATCTTTATTCTATCCAATTTGATGCATATTAGAAAATATAATATAATTAAATTTTTGTTAAAATTACATGATATTTTTTTAATTATTTTTAATATATGTTTTTAACTTCTGATGATAATATTAAGATATAATATAAAAAAAATTCTTATTTATTAAAAGGCTAAAAACCTATTTTGGTCCCTTATAATCTTTTTTTGTTTCAATTTAGTCCTTTATTAATTTTTTGTCTCAATTTGGTCCTAAACTAATTAATTGGTTTCAATTTAGTCCCAAATTAATTAATTGGTTTCAATGTGGGACTTTCCGTCCAAATTGCTTTAACGGTGTTAACTTTTGGCCACGTGGACGCCACGTAGATACATACGTGGATGCCACGTGGATGAGAATTTTTTTGAAAACACCTGGACCCACAACGGCCCGTTCTGAAACCGGAACAGGCCGTTCTGGGTGCACTTTTGGTGTGTTAATTTTGCATCCGGAACGGTGTGACACCCTCTACCCCAACATACATATACAGTAATTATAAAAAATATAAAAAAAATTTCATCATTAAAAATTAAATTTCCAGCCACGTAAGGGTAAAGAGTTCACATTCATAAACTTAATCCAAATAACATGCCGGTAAAATTACAAAGAAATAAAACTGAATTTTCTAAAATAATTTAATAAGAACATCTTTAAACTAATTCTATCTATGTTCCGATGTCACATGTCCTATCAGAGCAAAACCCAACATAGAAGCCTAAGCTTCATCACCAACATCCTCAGCCTCACGCTGATGATCACCTGTATAACAGTCAAAACAGAGCAACATGAGAAAAAGGAGTGAGAAACATCTCACTCTGGCTCACAGTGTAGAAATATACGCCGAATAGCCAAACACAAACAAAATAAGTATAACATAGATAAATTAATAATAACATCACACTCATCCAAGACATAAACCATCACTTTATCATATAACATTAAGAATGCATATGCATGGACACGGACTACATATTATCATGCATGTGGCGCCAGTAAAACATCACATGGCATATTGCCGCTAGCAATACACGAAGAGTAGTCTAGGAGTACATGCCGGGTCACACCCTCTGCGCACTCTCACTAGAAGGATATACTACCAGAGTCTCGTCGGGATAGCTAAGCCGCGCAAGATACATCCCATGCACACAATGGGCGAGACTGGGACTTCCAAACCGAGCTATCCCCAAGGACTAATCCCCAAAGCTTTTACACTAGGGGGCCTTCTCTGGCGGTGTATTCCATATCGTACCCTTAAAACACTTATGCAAATGATGCATGTCATTCAAGACTCTATGCATTCTCATATCTCATTATCATTTCTCATTCCCATATCACATTATCATGTCTCATTATCACTTTTCACATCATCTCATCATATTCACATAGTCATCACTTTTCACATCATCTCATCATATTCACATAATCATCATTTTTCACATCATCTCATCATATTCACATAGTGTCTACAGAGCACTCAAAATCATATCAAAACTGATCTATTTTCAAAAATAAACACATATTTATACATCTCATTCAACAAGGAATACATCAGAACAATCAGAAAGCAAAACAGAAAATATTCATATTTTGCCTGTTTCTCATAGGGTTCCCACAGGAACCCACAGAGCACTCTAATTCATATCAAAACTTGTTTATTTTCAAGATTATATACATATTTACACTCAGCAAATATCAAGAAACACAACAGAAAACTCAGAAGGTAAAACAGAAAACATTTAAAATTTGCCTCTTACAATTATCAATGCATTCCCTTAGGGTTTCCCATAGGAACCCATAGAAATCTCAATTCATACGATTAATTACATATAAGAAAACAATAGGCAAAACAGATACAATTGGGAAAAACCCCTCATACATAAGCATACAAAAAATGCAACAAACACAGGATTGGGGGCCAATCCCACTACTCAGCATACAATCCCACACCCAGAGCGAGGTTTCTCACTCCCCCCCCTTACCTCGATAAATAGGAGCCGAATCTTGTTGGGCGCCCCCTCTAGGCTCCCCTTCGTCTCGATAAACAGGAGCTGAATCTTGTTGGGCGCCCCCTCTAGGTTCCCCTTCGTC